ATCTCAAAAATTTCACTAAAAGAGGTTGTTTTGACGTTCAAATATCTTCAAATTGATCATCTCGACATCAAGAAGCATAGACATGAGAAAAAAAAAAGTTTTCAAGTTTTGGAAATAGTGTATTTTGTAACACATTTTTCGACCGTCAATTTTCAAGATTTTCTAGATTTCAAAGATCTATCGATCTACTCTATTTTTTAAGCTTTAAACTTTATAAATAAATATAAAAGATATTTTAAGGCAATCACAAAGATTTCCAATATTGAAACCACATTTCTCGATACCATTTGAAGGTAGGCTCTAATTTGATTGTTTAGAGCCTAGGCTCAGAATAGTTGAAAATGGGTAAAATGTCAAACAGTTGATAAGCTAGGTGTATTTTGATAAATTTCCAAAAAAAAATGGAAAATGGGTTTTATGAGTAAGGAGAAAATGCAATGAATATGGGCTGTCTCTAAATAAAATGCAATGAATATGGGTTGTCCAATTTAGAGAAGAAATGACATGTTTAGATCGATGCTCTAGGCTTAATTAAGACCAAATTTTGTAGATGACCTAATCTTCACCAGATATGAAATGAGCAGCCAGCACTCATCAAGTTCCAAAAAGCAAATTTTTACATTTTTTTTTCGGAATGTTTGATGTGCGTCTCCAAATCTAGGGCAGCAAAAATTCCCATATGCCCCTAAAATGGGGGAGGGCACACCATTGTAGCAGTCCAACCAAGGAAATATGAAATGTCTTCCCTATATATATATATATATATATAGGGTGTGGTTTCTATAAGGTTGCAACCTTAAACAATCGAATTAAGGCGTACCCCGAAATTTTATCATAATATGTAATTTTGGTGTAAAAATTTTCTAGGATTATCTCAAAATCTATTTTCATATCTAATTAAAAAATTTTCAATTCCAAAAATAGTTCAAATCAAGTAGATCTATAAACATATGAATATTTTGAAATGTACGGTCAAGATAATGTGTTTCAAAATGCATTATTTCTGGGACTCAATTTTATTTTATTTTTTGGTATTCATACATCTTGTTTTTAAGATGATCAATTAAATGGTTTTTCAACAT